TATAATTCTTATAGTTTAAGATTGGTCAAGACTTTTCACTTTTTTAAAGACTTCATGATTAATTTAATATTTAGTAGTGAATTTTATAATTTTAATAAACTATTAATTAATATTAAGTTTGTTAGCAATGTTTAGACCACTTCTAGAAGGTACATGCATATTTTTAGTTATATTATCCAAGTTTTTAACTTGGACAATGTTTTTTCCTCTCCAATGAATTCTAAACATTTCATGAATTAAATGTACCAACTTCTCCAATGATCTACATCTTTTAAGTTCAGATTTATTAGTTCCTGAAATATATCGCTTTAGGAGATTTGATACCACATTTTCATCAATAAATTTTTTTATATTTTCATTTGATAATGAAGTAACAGTTATGCCTTTTCTAAAAAAAAAAAAATGTTAATTCGAATTTAAAGTTAATTATTAAATATATTTTTTTTATACCTTTCTCGAGTTTTCTTAAAATTATCAATAAGTTCCACAACTGATAGATTTAATTTGTGACGAAAATCACCCAGAGCCTTCTTTGTTCTGGTTTCAATTTCTTTTCCTTCATTTGAACATGGTGAATATCCAAAAATCCTTTTAATAAATTCATCGATACATGTTGATGAAGGATTTCTCATTCGAAGGAAAAGACATTTGATCTCTTTATCCTATAAACGAGCATTATTCTAAAAAAAACTAGTTATTTTTTTTAAAAATAAAAGATACTATAATTTACACAAATTTTTGTTATTCACATCATAGAAACACATAAATTAAATCTATAATTAAGATAATTTTGTGTTTTTATAATGCAAATAACAAAAACTTCATGTAAATTATAGTATTCTTTCTAAATTATTATTATAAAAATATGATATATCCTATTATCAATAGTATTTGCAGAACTCATAGCTAAGGAATTAGAAGGTTCGCCAAATTCACTTGCATATGTAACTGGTAATAAAGAGGCTGTATGCATCTGGCTGGCTAATTTTAATATATGTGGATGCTTAATTAGCCAATTACACACTTCTAAGACATCATTCATA